AACCGCGACAAAAGGTCTTACAAAATTGTATGACCTGGATGTAGTAGTTCGAACAAGCCTGTAACATATAAAAACTAAGAGGTTGATCATGTCTATGAGTACTTCATGAATATTGAACAGAGTATCATCTGAATACTTAATTGTAGTTTTATGAGTCTGTTTTAATGTATTTGTTATGTTTATCATGACTGAGCTATACAAGATATCATTAATAGTTAAACGAGACTGTGCTATATGCGTTCTCAACAGACGTTCAATGAGGCTGTATAAAAGTGGCGCATATTCCGTAGTAGTTTCAACAAGACTGTGATATAAAAGAACTCTTAATACCTTAACAAGACTGTGCGATATAATTACTTCAAAGTAGTTAAAGACGTCTGTTCTGCATGTGTGAGTACTCTGCTGTAGTAGTTTTATCAATACTTACTGTGTGAACGCCCCATTCTAGTACTAGTTAAGACTTTATTATGTGAATATTGCGTGGTTTCAACAAGACCGTATTGATTTGGAGTCCATGACTCGGATAGCCAGTAAACTCGCATCTAGTGTGATTGTTAATCGTTTACACGTGGACCGATTTAAGATCTATCTCTGCTAATGGCTTTCCAGCATCTGATGTATTCCTAATGTTTGTAGGTCCAAGCTACATCAGCACAGTTTCTCTGTTTGTATAGAACCAATTGGTATAGTAATAAATGTGTTAGGCTGTAGTGATCGTTGTCCTAGACAAACACAGGACGGCATATCATGCAGTCAATCTTTTTCCTGATCATGGTCGTGTGATTTTGGATATGTACAACACAGTAACCGTCATTTATAAGGTTTGTCAATCTAATTCACCTATTTAGCATTTCTTAAATTTTACCTGAACATATCGCTTATTTTGAATGTTTTACGGTAGTTAAATTTGATTTGAAAAATGATAAATCAGACTTATTTCCTTAATGACTAAAGAATAACTTAACTCTTAAATTACACATAAGGATTTTACTAATCTCACTGTTGCACACTATGGTATCTATAGTAATAGAATCTTTTAAGTACATTCACATTCATTTTTATAAGGAGAACTTTTGAAGACTTTAGATTTACATATATGATATGGTATGTACTATTTTACTTATACGGTTCCTAACCAAAAGTAACATGACCTGTTAGTAAGTGTGGTATATTATATCAATATATTTAAGTACTGTACTGTAGCTGATTCAACATATGAGTGGTAATGAGGTGTGTGAATGTTTCCAAACCGACAAATATTCTTCTGTTATAAGACGCCCATTTCTCTTAAAGCCTAAACCAATTTCAATGTATGTTATAACTGTTGTTGAATGGTAACATGATATTCCATGCAAATCAAAATCATGGGATGCCGAATTTGAGAACGTCTCTTGTGGTAAAACTATTAGATCTTAATTATGTGAAGTGATACATGGTTGAACATTGATAATTTGGGAGAAAGAAAGTGTATTGCCCCGTGCAAGATAGAAACTGATGTTGTAAAGGGTAAGATTACTTTGGGAATAATATCGTAAATGCATATGAACAATATACTTATTCATCTCCCATAGGATACTTGAATATGTATCTTTGCATTGATAATGAATAGGTCTCTGTTAGAAATTAAAAAGTGGCTAATGAAAGTATCTTGAGATAACAATATCTTCACTTGACCTTATTTTGACTGTGAATTATCCACAAGTGTTAAAAATTCCATGCTTCAGCTCATCCGCTGAAACCAGGACAAACGTAATGAATAAGCGGTCCCGCTGGTATTAACGATATATATATATAAGCACCCATATGAGTGTTAACCAAACGTTCACCTCCTGAAGGATGGTAGTATCTTTTACTTATGTTTACTATTGTGATCAATTCTCTGTCGGTAGTTGTTGTAATGTTAGAACATTTTATATCGTTTTAATGTAAAAATCGCTATTAGGTATACTATTGCACATTTCACAACAAGAGATTTTAGACATTAATTGTTTTATTGTAATTCGTTCTTACGTTGAATACATATCGATACATATATCAATAACCTAAATTCTATCACATCCAAACTTTGACTCTACAAGAAAATATGACATTCATGCTGATTTTAAATGATATATATGATGAAATTCAGGGAAATACTGATAATTAATTAAATTGGCATCGAAAAATCGTTCAAACATTTGTATGTATCATATTTGAAGAATAACCATTATAATGGTCCATGGACATCTCTAATGGTTACATATCATAACATCATCAATGTCACACACAACAGAAATCACATATCTGTCATTCATGCATATCTTTTAACCTTGAGAAATACTATGTGTGAGATATTGATTGTGAAATGTTTGATAAGAGACTACTTTCCCGCTGGCTTTTATTGACCTGTAACAACAATACGATATGAAATAAAATACGAAACATATTTAGGATGATAGCATGAATACATATGTGCCATGAAGGTCAAGGTTTTGTGCCCAGAACAGATCTTCATAAATCAGCCTTTAAAAATATACTGTAACATATTGTATGGTCCTATTCAGAGATAGGCTAGATGTGAATGGAAATGGTGGTATTATGTCTACATTATACATGTCAACCCTACAAACTGCTGCTTAATTTAATGAAATTTTAACATGTTAATCACAAATTTAAGTGCAAATACATGTTTCAATACGTACGGAATACCATAAATTTGTTGTGACTTTGTATTGTATGCACAGAAAAAGAGACTTTGAATGAACTAATGTTATACGTCCGTTTAGCTATTTACGGCGGCAAAACAGCGCACAGTAGAGAGAACGTTTTAATGCAATTATGCAAAAATAGATGCATCTTGCGTATCAACATTAGCTTGCACATCAATTTGGTTGTAATCCTTGGCATAACAAGTAGTTAGATGAGTTCCTATGACATTGTCTTTATCGAGTTTATACAGCTAATTACACTGTATCTTTGAAGATACCAAATCATCATAACATCAATGTGATGTAATCTTTTCTCCTGCTGCGCCCACGCAATTCCAGGAAATTCTTATATTAATAAACATTTTTCTTTCATGTATTTATTACCTTTCGGAAATTGTTCTTTCAGCATAAATGCGAATAATTGTTTCCTTATAAATAATTCGAGATCAAACAGACTTACAAAACTGTTAACTATTTTGTGTGATTAAAATGACTGCCATTATAACCACGATTTTGATTCTGTTAGTCGTACACCTAGCTATCATTATCCAGCAGAGATGGTTCGAGTTAGGCTGCTTTATCAATACTGATGTTACACATTTCATGTTCAAATTGACAATTAAACAGACTTCTATTTAAACATCCATAATGCATATCGTGTTCTTTCATGCATTGACTATGTGAAAATGAAGAAAAAGATGAAAAATGTGTTTTTCACAGAGATCTTACATAAAGGCATAAGAGAATAAGACCAGATATTAATGAAAAGTAACTTCTCTTTGTCTTGTGACTTTAAGTCAATACCATTAATGCCATGCTCTCAAAAACGGGAATTGGGTTAAGAACGATGGACTGACCTGACGTAATAGCCATCATCATATGTGACAAATCTTTACTCTTGAGATTTTGTTCTGATACTACGGTATAAAACCATTTACCATTTTACATTAATTTATGTATTTCTCTATATCCTTCTTAGATGACGCTTCATTGAACAATCTAATATTTTTTATAACTTTTCATACATAACATTAGGACAATCACTTTGTACGACTCCTGCTCGAACAATGCTTAAAAGAACTCTGCTGCTAAAGGAATATGCAATATATTTCGTTAAGAAAAAAATCTCATAAACTGTTACATATATTGCTATATATTATAATATACTAAATATCATGTGTTAACTTACTCCCGAGTTTATCACGATATCTATATGATAAAACCTAGATGATCATTATATAAACATTTACATCCACATTACGTAATATTCAAGATACTTCATCAGCACGTTAAAATCAACTCTTTCGCGGATTTTTTAAATTCCCATAACGAATTATGAAATTTATTATGAACTAACACCTGCGTTTCTAACTGCGACATGTAAATTGTTTCTCCAAAATCTATTTAATAATACAGATTGCCCTGATTACACATGTAATTTTAAAAAAAAAATGTGTCATAAGATATGGTAAAAAGCACCTGTATGTCCATTAATATATTAAAGTATGAACCGTATATCTGCCACAACATCTGTGTTTCCGTATTACCACATGTACTTCTAACACCGACAACCAAGCGTTGCTGAACTATCATATCTACACAACACACATGTTAAACACACCTTACTGCACTTGTCTTGCTGTATTTATTAACTATTAACAATCTTCTGGGATATTGCACAGAAGACAAACAGTGAACAGCTCCTTTCAACACTCATTATTTATTAGACAGAGTACAGCCAAATAACTGGTAAAACTGCATCAGTTGTTTCGTCCTTCAATGACTCGTCCGTGATCCAAAGAGCTTTCATAGTTGAAACCGAGGAGTCGATTAAGGAAATCCGTAATTGGTCAGCTAAAATAAGCTATAAAATGATGATGAATATAATAAATAGAATACAAAGGGAAAAAAGGAAAATTTAGTAAAGGACAACGATGTGGGAGGTGTGCTTACCCCAATTTCAATAAGTTTCATAATTTTCGATATTGAATAATTTCAAATGAATGTCGTGCAGGTAGGTACATTTTAAACATCGCCACTATTTGAATCAATTTGAACGAAGCATGTAGACATTCTGCGAAAGAGAGTTAAGTGAACGGCCTTTTAAAAGATAAAGTTTGTTTCAATACCTATGCACGTAGACACACATTCATTATGTCAGTCCTTTCGATATTCTTATTCATTAGGCGTGTTTGTAAAATCGTTTGATCAATATAAACCAGTGTACACGAAGTACGAGAATGTTGTTTCTTTTATAACATGGACGTTCTCACTCAACTTTACTAAAATAGTATTTCCCTTTTTGTCATCCAGATTTGAATCAGTATCGCCACTCTGTGAGATACATGGTGATGATGACGTCATTGAACACATCATACAAGACTGTGAGAATTCTGCCCTAAACAACACCGCCTGCTTAGACAGTAAGTACAAACTTTAAAAAGTCTGATGTTTAATATTTTAATGAAATATTTTGAATATATTTAATGTGTAAATCAATATTTATGATTCAGTTGGTAGTCTGATGATGATAATGTTTTTATCAATCTTGTCACCTGGAATTTATATTATACGATATTTTATCTATATATAACAAGTGGCATACTGTCTCTCATGCTGCTGAGTAACTATACCACAATATAGTGTCTATGACACCACTTTTGTTGCAATGCTACGGCAAAAGCGTCGCTTGTATATTGGATTCAAAATCATATTGGCGTATCTATACAATTAACCATCCCGGTACTTACAACTGTAAAAGAAATAAGGCTTCCGGATAATGCTTCGAGAGGACATGACAATGGGAAAGTCTAGTGGAATGAAGAAAATTCATTTCAATGCAGACTATGAGTTGTGATCTATACTCCATGATATTAATCAATAGAGATAAAGCATTGTCTTAACAATAGATTGCCAATCAGCGATCTGTCTAATAAATATCAATCAGACAATAAAACAGTACCAAGTTGTAATTGGATGATACTGACCGGTGGCATTCGTAGCTGGCTCGCATCACAGTTACTATAGTGATGCATGTTTTATTCATAAGATGTAAAAAAGAGTCATGTTCCTTTCAAAGAAAACTTGATCTAACAATAATGCTATACAACTCAAATTTATTCCTAACTGTCTATGCTTGATCTATGGTGGTAAATCACATAGAATTCATTTCCGTTTTCAGTAGTGTACACAAAATCACTTTATGATATAATCATATACGATGGAATCAGATATGTTGTGTCATATATTCACCAATTCAGTATTTTTCAATACGGCAAATAATGCGACAAAGTACACCAACGCTAATCAAATTTTGTTTTGAATAATTCATTTTATGTACCTGATGTTCAATATGTCTTAATGGAACTGGTTTGAAAACAATGATGAAAAACACACCAGTCTTAACAACGAATCAAAAAAAATAATGAGGAATCGTTGTCTGTGGATGGCAATCTAATCACTACAGAAAAGACTCCAGTGCGCATGTATCAGCTGGGTAATCATAGGAGCAATATAAATGCAACCTGTAAGGATTAATGATTGACAAGTTATGTCCTCTGCAATTGAAATGCACGAACGTTTTGATGAAATATGCACACATAATCAAAAGTTTGTTCCTGCCACGGTTGCAATCAGCTCTTGAATTTTGAGCTTTATGTGGTATCTTAGTGCAGCCCTGCGTATAGTGTAACTTACTTTAATCGTTATCAAAATATTTTATTTCTACAAACCGAAATCCCCATGAAATGTTTACCTATTTGTAGGAAATGATGTTAAAACCTTCTTGGATTTTACAGATATGAACATATACAATATACGATTCCAATTCTACTTTCGTTTTAGTGGGATTTCATTTTTAATCAACTCTTTCATAAGCAATGAATATTTTTCGATATAATAAGAATCTTGAATCTTGTAATTTCGATTTCTCTTCTTTTGTTCTCTCCTTTTCAAGAATGACATTTTTCTACATGACCAATGACGAATTGCTGAGTAAGGAATCAAGCCTTCGCCAATCTCATTATACCATGTTATGTTTTATAAAGCAATTTTTATAAATCTCTTTGTCGTCATTCGGGTTGGTTGGTTACAGGTTTTCCGCCTTCATGACTCTCGCTATCTAAACGACGACCGTATGTGTTGGGATCGTTTGGTCGCAAGTTGTTTGTCTTCACGAATCTTGCTAGGTGTTGTCTCACAGACAACCATCAGTCATCTTCCGGCTGTTTGGTCGCAAGTTGTGTTGTGCGTCTCCGTGTCTCTCGCTAGATGTTGTCTCACCTACAATCGTAAGTTTTCGAAGTAACGTATATTTAATGTTTTAATCATTTGAATAGAGAGAAGCGTGCATTAAAACGTGAAAGAAATTGAAGAATGTTCACTGTGGTCCTTGTTCCCTCTGATATTCTAGGTGAGATATGTGATTAAATATTCAGGCACCCTATGTTTTTCACATGCGTTAATATGTATAACGTTGATGGACTTCCCGGAGTGTTGATCACGAGAGACACAAACGGTGTATAGATAGTATGTACACATGCCTGATTTATGTATATGGAAATATGGCAGAGGAAGTATTCACGTGCTTTAATGACTATCATAAAATTTATTTTTAATCAATGTTCTTCACATTTATGTCCATTATATATACAGCTGTTAGACAAACGATAAAAATGTTTATCAAATATCAGCATGGAGGTATAATTATACTTAACATTGCAACGCATTGTAGCCACGTACGTGAATATAAATTACAGGGCAATCGAAACCGCTATTTCTATGAAAAAATTACAATTGAAAATGTCTATACCAAAATATTTGAGTTCAGTTTGGGTGAATTACGAGTAAAGGATAAAAATGATATTTAGGAAGAGTATGCTTGGCATGTAGCACAGTGTTATGAACAAGTCTTGTTCATATGATCGAAAGCTAAATCATGAATTCCTTGGCGCGACATTGAAAAAATGTTTCGTAAATGTAGGCAACCGTACATGCTTACGATTACTGAAAAATAAAAGGACAGAAAACTTATGTCGTAACTTCGCAGGAAGCGTTTCTGACATACATGTATGTGCTAAAGAATAGTGATTGTGCTTCGCCAAAAAATGCGAGGTTTTATTTTGTTTTGCATTATAAAAGGTTCGACTAACAGCGTTTTCTCGACATAAGCAACAATCACGAGATGAAAAGAAGTAGGTATTTAGATGGTATATAGTTTTGTCTGTTTGTATTGATAGCTGGCAAAAACTGCTGCACTGCAATGTAGAATAAAAATGATATCGGTACACATCGACATCCTGATTGATTTATGATTTATGCTTTATGACTGATGTTTGACAAAGATTACCCAAAAGATACTCAATGGTGTAGCAACTTTAAATACTTTAGAATTAGATACAATATAGCCAAATAATGAATTATTAGACAAACGGTTGTTTCGTCCTTCCAGGACCCATCATTCATATCAATAACATTAATTGTGTAACCTAGGAGGCGACTGAGGACAATCAAAAGTGACCGAAAGAAATGTCAAAGTCTAATTTCATATTTAAGATTTTTTTAATTCAATATGTATTTGTGAATTTTGAACCGTGCCATCAATAGAATGAATAAAATGTGGCACTACACGTCCGTAGGGTGTTTACCTGTAATTATGGTGATTATAAAGGGGCACAAATAAATGGCACCCTTCAATTTGGAAACAACAAAGAATATACGAACATTTCAACAGAATATTTATTCTAACTCTAAGAGGAAAATATGAACAAAGGACATATTTCCATAGACATTCCTGAAAAACGTAGAGAATAATTAGATAAGGTACTTCGGAAGAGATTTCTGCTTCATCCACGACACCACCATATAAATCTCGGTCAGTGCAATAAGTAATGTCACGTTCCAAAAATAAGAACAATGTTAACAACAATGGAACCCACATTAAACTAATGAGCATCAAACACGTCAAGCGTTCTATAACACAAAGGAATATAAAGAGATCATCATGACGACCGTAAGACTTCCTAATAATCTTCACTGACCTTCATCTCTCGTTTGTTGCCTGCATCTTGCACGAAAATCGTGCTGTCGGGAACAAGCCCATGAATATCGAATTATCTGCGACTGTAAATACCAGAAGTTAGGAATGTGAAAATAGATAGTCCCAAATAATGAAGTTTGCTGTATCAAGATAGAAACAACGAATTAATATAATTAAATATTCACCGGAGAAAAATCTTCTAGACAAGATAGGTAGAATAGATGATTTTAAAGTATAGTCAAATGATGAGATAGCAACAAAAGTGAGATGTAATCTCACCTCACGCAGTCGCGTGACACAATGGAATGTACTCGCCTTTCACTGAGGCGTCTAGGGCCAGATTCAGAGATAGAATGAGGAAAGTTAATCGGTCACCTACAAGACCACATGACTTCCCCTGAGTACTCAATTTAATTCCATATTGAGACTGTCTCGATGGTCTGGCCAACAGGAGTCATTAAAATAGGTTGATATTCTTTTTCATGATTTTCCGGAGAAGATATGCAAGCAAACAGTAACATTAAATTTGTTTGTACATACAAATATGGCAAATAAAGCTCTCTGGTCATGACGATGTATTGGATTAAGAATGTCTTTTATTCCCAATCATGCCACAGGCATTTTACAGTCTGACTTGTGTATCTAGCTATTAAACGAAAGACATATGTTTGATATAGAAAACTTTGTCGAGTTACTATCATATATTGTATTTTCAGTCAGTATTGATTATAGAACAGCATACACATCACAGTACTATCGTTCGTGATATAAATGCAGGTATATTCAGGAATTTGAATTATCAAATCTACCATCGTCAATGATGGAAACGCTTAATGTTACCCATATAGTGAAGAGTTAAAGTGTGTGTTGTGATCGATCGATTGATATTGTGAATACATGTATACATGCATGTGATACTGTAGGTAACATTAGCATCAGGCACCAGTAAAGTACACATGAAGTGGTGGGTTTTACATTTCTCGGTTGGACGTCTCGGACGGTCTGTGAGGTGACCTATTGTTGCGTGTAGGTGGATCATTATTGAACATCCTTCGTTATGTTTACATGTTGTCATAGACATTCGTTGCCGATGTCCACTATCGTCAATTTGGTCCGTTGTAGAAAGAATAAAAACACATGTAAATCGAATAATAATTCAAACTCCGATTCAATAAAACTTGTGCAAAATATTAACAAAATAAAGATCTGCACAGAAAGTCCTGAAAAATACAAGAAGAATAAGGCCGGGTGTTCCGGAGGAGTAAACATTTTCCTCTTTATCGACGAGACCCGTCATGTTAACCCTGGATCCTAAGTCAATCCAATTCAGTAACGTCACATTCTTAAATGAAAACAAGGTATACAACAACGGAACCAACTGGCATCGAGCATCAAAAACTTCTAGCATCACATCACTAAAAAATGCAATATTTCTCATTGAAATCGCTGTGGAAACTTCCCAATAATTTTCATCAACCAGCATCTTTCGAAATTCTCTGGGGAGTGTTTCTCAGTTGCCGACATCTTGCATGAAAATCGTGACATAGAAAACAGATCTTTGAATAACGAATCAACTGAGACATGATAAATACCATAGCCAGGGGATTCAGGCATGTTGCTATCAAGAAATAGACATTTCACAATAGGGAAAGTGATATAATCACGCTTATCATGAAGCTCTGTTAAAAGCTGTAAACGTTGGTCTCCTTGTAAAGAAAGATTGAGATAAGCAGCAGGTGTAGACGAATCTGTCGTGTCCTTGATTTTCAATTCTGAGAAGTCATTAACGAATACAGCCATGTGAAACAACCTTCCCGTCATGTGGGAAATGGTGTTGTAAACAAACATGTATGTAATGGATTTATAAAGACGATATACAATTTTGTTTTAAACCCCTCTCCTCATCACTATCTACAGTCTACATATCTCAGGTAAACAGAATTACTTTGACTATAAAAATGTAACACATAAACGAAATACCATATTTATAAAACACAGGAGTCTCCGTGTAAATATTTTATATTTTGCCCTGGTTTAATTGAACTATAGTTTGTATAATGATTATGTTGACTTGTGGTATGTTCTTGTTGTTTAGGCACTACATTCTTTCTATGCATATTTATGTTAAGAACAGTATTGTATAGAACCAGGTAATCGTGTAGTATTTTTGATCCAGATAACTGTATCTGTATTCGATTTCAGAGAGACGATTAGTGTTTGTGTTAAGATAAGGCCGTTCAGCACAATTGCACACCAGGTCTTCTGTTATCTTATTAGATTAATTTAAACTTCAGGATGTAATCGTCACACTCTATTGGTCTTGGATTACGATATGAAGACAACACATTTATAGTAACGTCGACCACTGTTTGGTTGGCGTATTTATTTTCAGGACAAGGCTTGCCATTGATCAATTTCCAAATACGATTAAAATGGATTTATATTTCTAGCGTTTGACTATTTACCGTGTAAGGCCATGAACTCCCAAACTAGCGTGCAATATAAACTACTTGTATACATAGTTATAATTGCCGAGCCTGTTTGAGTCACTAGGGATTATGACCCGGATTCAACCCATTCTCAGCGTTCATTAAGACGACTTTCCAGAAGATAAGCCGCCTTTTAACTAGTGAATATAAAGCATTGAAGGCGCCATCATCCAAAGAACGCATTCTTCCTCATGAGGATAACTTTTCTAGAAATGTCTGTACTTTGGGATGTAATTTAATCCCAAGAAACATTGAGGCACATCACAGAAGGTAAGACTCTCTAAAGCATATATTCCGTATATTATATTGGTCTGATCAATTTTTGGTTTGGAAAGACGTCCGAAATAATTTTGGTTTGAACAGAATCAATTTTGAATATACTGATGTTATATGATTGATTTCCATTCCAGCACAATGCGGTATTAAGCATATGGAAAAATCACGTGCTCTTATAGCATGTACATACCTCACGCTTCGAGAGCAATCACTCCCTAAGTTAAGTTATATATATCACTGACAATTGACTTTTCGTTCTGTTTCTTTGTTATTATTTCATTTGCCCTGTTAATTAACTATGCATGCGTCATAATGGTTGTTGGAGACTTTAAGTCATTCCTAAGTAAACCGGCAGGTGGTCTTGGCTGCGCTTCGCGCAACATCTTAAGACCAACAACATGATGTACGGCTATTACGTGTTCAATTTTATTGGTGTAAACCAACATTTTTAAGACCACTGTGATGGTTATTTTCGTTTTATATGCCA